CGTCAGAGTGTATGATTTGCTAACTGCATTGGTCTGCATTTATATCGTAAACTTTTTTTTTTTTTGCAGCACTGGGCTGTCTTTTTTTAAGAAAGTAAAAATGTTATTTGTTATAAAATAGATTAATATGAATTCTTATTTAATCACTTTCATTTTAAAGCGAGCCAGTGTCGTTGACGCGGCATTTCTTAATAGCGTGCAAGCAGAAATCCGCAGCAGTCTGGACAGCCCCGCGAACAGGACAAACTGCGCTGGTGAAGGCAGTGCGGGTCAGGATACCGGGGTGGCGGTGGACTGCTGAAAACGAAAAGGTTGTTTAAAAACGCTTCGACTTAGGGGCATTAGGAAACCAGGTAAAAAAAAAAAAAGGTTAAACGTTTGCGACTTGCGGGATTTCTTTTTTTTCGCAAAGAAGGACGCACATGAACTTCACGACAGTTCTGTGTTTTGTCTCAGAGTCTCGAATTGAAGATTACATCATAAACTATCCGCCTCTCATTTTGTCATAGGTCAGTTTCCCTAGCTTATAGGGGTGTGGGTTCATCGGACAAATAGTGTGATTGTGTTTTTGCCATGCCTAAAATGTTTTATTTGAAAAGGATTCTGCCTCCGCAGTTTTCTTTTTGTTTGATATCTCGGGGGCCTCTGCGTGTATTACAACTGAGCATAACTTTGAAACCTTAGCTCATACTTTGAAGCTTTATGTTTGATGCAATAATGTTTCGTATACAAAAACAAGTACGCCCCAAAAGCAGTAGGCATCTTCACACAATAACATGGGTAAAAGGTTCAAGAAATAATCATTCCTACTAAAATACTCAAAGAAGAAATAGGAACTTTTGTTTGAGTATTTCTGGATCTGAGAAAACAAAGAAAGCCGTAAAAAATAGGTGCACATGAGAAAACGGTGTCAATGTACTCAATATACCGATCTCAGCAGTCAGTTTGACTACGCCAGCGCTGCCGCAATGCATCTAGGGAGTCTTTCTGCACGTGACGCAATCTCGCTGGAGCTCTGTGCGTATAGAGCACGAGACGGCACGAGCCACATCGTGCACTGCAGCCTGCCTCCTGCGAACTAAAGTCGTGGCGGCGTCACGCGTGTGTCGAACGCCTTTCTCAGATTGGTTTATTCAAATTGTAGCATAGGACACCGTCCACTTGGATTCTTCAGTCCCATATTTTAATTAAGTATATATGCCCGTGAGCACCCTTGCTCGTAATGGCTATTGCGATTTGATCAAATTATTGACGCAAGCAGCTCGATATATACGTTTGGTGCTCGCTTAAAGGTCGTAGGTGAAAAATGGAATAAATAAAGAACGACTATGCTTTCTTCGGGAAATAAATAATGTAGCAAACGACGGTGTGCGGATTTTGGCACATTGCTTTGGACGTAAAATATTATTTCCGCTGTTTAACATCAAACCAGTAATTTGGTGTTCTTTTTTTTGTTTTTGTTATTGTTTTGTTAATGTTTTGTTAACGTGAAATAATTTTTTGTTAAAGTGTTTTTTTGAAATTCCTAAACCTTTTTTTCTGTAGCCTACAGCTGTCCTTGAATGCTGTTATAAGATATACTTTACATTAAGGTTTTTCTTAAAATACCTCGTAGGAAAAAAAAATATATGTCTTACGTCCAGTTCTAAATCAGGCGCTGCTTAACATCACACGAGGTCTTTTCACAGAAGCCCGTAAGTCTCCGTTATACTCCTACGTAGAGCGTAGCATTCGCGGAATAGCGCAGAGCACCCAGATACTGATTGATAGCAGATATCTACAGGCTTCTCCACTCAATATCATCCAAGTGGCAGCTTTTTTAATCCGTGTGTCCCTTAATTTAATTTAGCCCTACACCAATTCATTCCGCGAGTCAATTAATTTAATCCAAGTTGTCAATTATTTTAATCCAAGTTGTCAACAATTTAATCCCAACGACGTTAACTTTAATTCGAGAGTCACTCAACTGGTATCTTTATATCTGCGAATTAATATGACCATTAACTCATATATGTTGCAACCATTTTAGAGATCTAAGTTGCTTGCGACTCATGAATGACGTTGCACTGCATACATGCGATTTGCGTGACTGGATCTCTTTGAACTTTGACGGATTTCTTAGACCATAATAGGTAAGCTCCAGACTGGATGATGGGGATCTTTTGTCGGTCTTGGAATAGTAACGAAACGTTTCAAGTGACTTGACAGCAAAACCGTGTTTGATGTTTTTTTTTAGTTTCAATTAGGTGTGTGCATTACATGGCATAAACATTTTCATTGCAGATCAAGGTGCTGAATTTTGACCGCGAGTATTTGATGCACACTCGAATATGTGAGTTACGTGTCCTCTGTCTAAAGGGAAGGCAGAGTTTACTCGAAGTGATTGCGGTCATAAGCAGCGCAATCAGCACGTTGAATTTTCTGCATTGCTTCTTGCGGTCCCCGTTTGGAGCATCTGCCATCGGTGTTCCTTTAAGGTGGTAGCTTCAAGCCGCCCAAGTACGGCTGCGCTATGCTCACTGAGGTAAGCTTTCACGCCGGACTTGAGCTTGAAAACCATCTCTTCAATTGGGTCGAAGAACGGACTGTATCGAGGTAAGTACTTCAAAGGGTGCCCCTGGGACAAGGCAACGCCTGCGGCTTGTCGGTGTGCGGGAGCATTATCAAATATAATGACCGCATCCTGGCCACGAGCTGTTGCCATGATCTGCCTCGAAACTCTGTCCAGGAATTCGTTGCAGCCAGGACACTGTTTTTACACTTCTCTACGGAAGGGTCCCGTCTGGAGACTTGCATGCGAAGATGTTGATATTGGGCCCTGTATTTGCAGTTCTCACGACGGCGTCCTTTTCACGTTTTTACCTCCCAAACCTCAGACTACCGCAAATATTGAAGTTTGTCTCGTCAACGTAATGTCGAAGTTGAAGCAGGCCGTCCCCCTGCCGCCAGAAAACGTATTCTTTTCTTGCACTTTTCACGTCATCGCGATTTGGTGCTGCTTCATAGGTTCCATCGGGTCGCAGAGTCGACTGCGGTAAAACGTAAAGTGTAACAGAGTATAAAAATGCGCATTGCATTTCTTCAGTCGTGCTTTTAATACAACCTGGCCGTTGTTATATACCTTTTTCACTTACCCTCATCCACAGTCCCCTGGTAGGCATATGCGTTATGGGCGACGAAAATTGCTGAAATATTTCAACCTTTCAATAGTGCGAAAATAGAGGGGAGACAAAACGAGTATGGGGGACGGTTACACTTATATCCTAAATGTCTTTTGTTGGCGAGGCGACGGCACAACATTGTTTTCCCCATACTGGAAGTAACGGCATTCTAGATTGCGGCGCCCTTGGGGAAAAGGTCTACATATAAAACTAGCCGCGCCGTCTTAATTGAAAAAAAAAAAAAAAAATAGAACGTCTTTTTGTCACTAAAGCTGAATTTGCGGCAGCTGTGGTGGGTCTGGTGCTTACTTTGTATTTGTCTTGTCGCGCTGTTTTAAACCAAGATGCTGCATTTGCATTGAAGTGCGATACCTCTCTTAATTTCTGAAAATAAAAACAAAACGACCAAATACTTTTGCCAAAACTATACCTATCGCACAAAAAACAATTGATGCTCTTTTAGTCGCTAATGACGGGGTATTTTAACCAGGTACGTAGAGGTTTATATAATTAAATTTTTAATTAGTTTTGTATAAGTAACTTGTGTATAGTAAATAAACACACATCGTTCGATCAGAACGCTGCTGAGCGTCACTGAAAACAAATAAATCAGTAAATTAAAAACTAAAACCAATACGGGGAACACGTGGCAAGCGTATGTATTTCGCAGAAATGACATCTTGTGCCACAGCCGTAAGGCGCGGGTGCGCAGAAAGTAAGATAAGCAACCAGAAAAAGTAGCAATGTCCAAACCAATTACGCGTTTATATCAAGTTTATATTTGAAACTAGATGTCTGATTTTAATAAATATAAACGAAATTGTGCAAAACTGATTAAAGCACAGTGGCACCAAGCGCTATGTATCCCAATATTTAGGCTCCCCGATAGCGCCTTACAGGGTTGTAATAATATTTTTATGCGATGCGTAGTTTTCACAAATATTTTGGCCGATTTTCGGTAAAGCACCCTGTATATGCGCGGGATTAAAAGTGTGTACCTAGGTAGCACAGTGCTTTGGGCCAAAATTTGGTTTTTATGTGAGGATCTAGGGCTTTAAAAAACTCAAAGCCAAAGTACAGACAAAGCTTACCTTTTTTTCTTCAGCCTGTGTATCTTCGCCCCAATTCACCAGATAAGTGCCAAAGTTAGGCTTCACTGTTAGTAGTTTTGTTCCCATCTGGCATTTTTGGGCCTAAATCATCAAAAAGAGTGCCAGAGTTAGGCTTCACTTTTTTAGGACCGAAACTTTAGGACCGAGCTTTTATGGTCTATTCACACGAAGGACTTCGTCCGCGGACAAGTTCTTACGAAAGGCGTGACGTCACCTTTTCCGGGGTATAAAATCGGCCACTGATCTTGCGAAAACAGCAGGCAAAACCAAGGGACATGTACACGGACCTGAAAAACGTGTCTTCGGATCTGATATATCTTGTGTATCACGTGGGCGAACGCCACAGAATATGTCCGCGGACCTGCCGGACCATGATTATAGGAGTTTTGAAAGCGATCCAATTCTGCCTTTTTTCGAGTCCGCTGTGGTCCTCGGACAAGCCCGGGAACCGATTGCGTGAAAGTGCTCGTGGTACACTTCGTTGCACGAGCGGTTTTCTTTTTCTTTTTTATATGCCTCTCACGGTTCTCGTGCACGGATAGGCCTTTGCTCATTTTCCAGTACGATTAGTACGCGCGAGCTACAGCTGTGGAAGATGCTCGAGGATTCCTGCGCTTAGTGAAAAGAGGAGCCGAACAGAAAAAGAAAGAAAACGACGGGAAATTGTTTTCGAATCGAGCATGGAGCCAACAAGGCTTCACGAGTTGTTGTGGCTTGTGCCCTCATGATGGCGGATGAGGAACCACCTAATACCGACGCTAAAAAACCATGGATTAAAACATGGATTTCCAAGAAGGAACTCGGTATACAGAATCTACTCCATCAAGAACTTCTGGAGAGCGACCCTGTGGAGTACCGCCGATTGCTGCGCGTTGACTCCAACCAGTTTGCTGACATTCTCTCGTCAATTGCATCGTGCATCCAAAAACTCGACACTGAAATGCGGCCAGCCATTCCAGCCAAAGACAGACTTCAACTGACGTTGCGGTTTCTTGCCTCAGGTGTGTGGTTATTCTTCTCGCTTTTGTCCTTGTTTCAGCATATTTGAGAGCTACGCTCGACTTAGCCGTGTTTCTTGTTTTCTTGCGAATTTTCAGGCGAAAGTCAACATTCCTTAAGCAGGCAGTTCCGCATTAGCCACAGCGCCATGAACAAGTTCCTCGCTGAAACTTGTGACGCCATTTACAAAATGCTGGGACCAAAATATCTGGTGTCCCCGCGGACGAAAGATGAGTGGCTTGCAGTAATGAAGAACTTTTACGAAAGATGGCAGTTTCCGCAATGTATTGGAGCGCTGGACGGAAAACATGTCACAATTATCAAACCTCCGAACTCTGGATCTGTTTATTTTAATTACAAGAAGACCTTCAGTATCGTGCTTTTTGCTCTTTTGGACGCAGACAGCAGGTTTTTGTACATTGATGTTGGCGCACCTGGGTCTGACGGTGATGGAGGCATTTGGAGGACGACACCACTGAGGAATGCCATCGAGAACAGAACAGCCGGGCTGCCGATCTCAGGACCTGGACCGGTCGGCGTCCCACCCGTCATCGTGGGAGACGATGCCTTCCCCTTGTCTATAAACTTAATGAAGCCGTACACTGGTACAAATTTGGATGAAGAAAAGGTAACATTTAACTACAGGTGTGTTGCCTACATCATGTCATTTCTAAACACCGTATTTCTTATCGTTTTATTTTATTTTTTCCATTTCAGATTAAGCCGAACCAGACGGGTAGCAGAAAATGCGTTTGGCATTCAAGCAAACCGTTTTAGGTTTTTGCACACGACTATCGATGCCGAACCAGGAAGGGTCACCTAATTCATCAAGGCGGCGTGTGTGCTGCACAACTATTTGCGAGCTGCACCTGTGCTTTTTAAAGCGTCGAGGGAGGACCACCAGCGAAAAAGGACAATCTACTTCGGGCTACGATGTTGCAAAGGGCGCTCCGGGGCAAGAGCTCTAGATGTGCGTGAGCATCTACGGAGATACTTTAATGACGAAGGCGCCGTCGCGTGGCAGAGGGAACAGGCGGGCCTTAATATGCGGATAAATAACAAAATGTAACCTTATCTGCACGTTCAGACAAGTGCAGAAGCAAAGATACCATTTCATGAGCTGTATATTGCTACTTCCTTTAATTAACAACCGTTCATGCATGTGCTGGCACTTTGACCACCAAAAACTTTTGGTGTTATGCTCTAATTGTTCAATTTTATGTAAATAAGCTTGAAAGAATCTTCAATGTTTTCTTATTTCTTATTTTGTCATGCTATAATGTTGGTTTGCAATCTAACACACCCGCCCAGTCCAACAAAAACAGCCATCAGGTCCGAGTAGAATAAGTACAAAAGGCAAAGGATACAAGCATTTGTTTGTTTTCAAGTATTTCCTTTACTTATGAGTGCGAAATGCTAATTTTGGATTAACATTTTTTAGTTTTAATTGGGTTCGTTGAATTACATTTATTCTTGCTGTCGGTCTAGGTAACGCTTGACTAGTTCCAATACCTCTACCTGACACCCAATAAAATTGGTTCCGTTTAGGTTTCTCACGTGGCCCGCCACTACTCTTCCGAAATTATCAGCGCCGTCGCCACTTTTTTCAGTTGCAAAACTTTCCGCAATTTTAGTGAAAGCAACCGTGCGCTGTTTCCACCCATAGCTGGAGCAGTCATCTATTTTTTTTTTTCGTCATCGCACTTTGAGCGTTTCACAGGAGTGCCAGACGCTTCCACACTGGGACTCGTTGTTCCGCGCGGTGTGTGTGTGGAAGGCGTGCCAAGGACGGGTTCCCTCATCTCGGTCATAACAGACGCCAATTCTGTCTCACTGTCCATTTGGAAAGGTAAAAGAAATACGAATGCGTTACTGTAGAGGAACTATATGCAAAGCCCCCGCTTGCACGGCAGAATATCGCAAGTGTCGGCCATTTACTGTTCAGAGCAATGAGGGAGAGATAAAGAGAGAGAGATAGAGAAAGAGAGATAGTTTTAGTAGTGAAGGGAGGACGGCGATGGGTTACGTGACCAAGAGTAGATGTCACAATCGTAGTATTGTGGGAGAAGCGAGAGTTGTTTTTTATAAAGACGCAGCAGGTCGGACCCATCGAAAAATCACCGGCGGTTGGCAATTGCACTTGCAAAATTTAATAAAAAAAAAGTTTACTCAATAAATTTGAATGAAACTGCATTGCGGCCAGGACCTGGCCCGCGGGCCGCCGGTTGTCAATTCCCAGGATAGTGTCTCGCAGCTTCTTCCAGGGGCTACCAGCACTTCAAGAAACCGTGATTAACACGAGTGAACGGAACAAAATGCCGAAGCCCGAACAAAACAAATTACTGAAGCGTGTAGAGCAAAGCCAGAACTCGAACGTCAGCCAAGCTAATAGGATTCAGTGACCTCCATCAACGAACGCTCGCCAACGTTTCGTTCGATAGGTCTAAAAAATCAAGTTAAACAAATGGGTCAACCCGCCAAACGTTACTCACTCCACTGGGATCCTTGTGTTGGTAAGATTCGTTGCACTCCCGGGAAAGGACAGGTTTGCTCCGATCCAAGAACAGGAGACTGCGGTAGAACCTCCTTCTACCGTTGTACGTGTAATCCGCAGCTTGGCCGCTCTTCGTCTTCGTGATCTTTTTCTTCTCCCGTCTGAAGATGCGTCGCTTATTTTTTTTAAAAAAAGCCCCTCACTCCCTCTAAAGTATTAGACAACAATAAGCGGTCAAATACAACACGGAATCGACACTAATTAGTCCGCCTTCAATGAACCCACCTTCCTTGTAAGGCCGATACCGGGAGTAGCACCGTTCCATTTCATTGGCAATTTGTTTCCAGAGCCCTGATTTTATGCCGTTGTTGCGGTACTGGTCGTTTTGAAGGCACCAAAGCTGTGGAAACTCTTCTACGAGTGCGATTAAACACAGCGTCGCTTCATCGCTGAGATCCTTCATCGTTGTCGTCTTCAATGCCAGGTTCATCAGACGCTGGCGGGATTGGAATCGACCGTCACGTGCGTTGCGTGGCCGTTCTCTTGTAGCTTAGAACGCAGCGAAGCACAGCCAAGGCTCTCGGCGCGAGGTGAGAGCATTGAAAAATACCGATTCTGAACAGTATAGCTCGTGCAGCGACGGCAGCGAGAAAGGTACGAGCTCGGACTCGCAGTTCTCGCCTTGGTTCACGCCAACCTTGCAGTATTAATTCGTATGTCCTCGGACTTGCCCAAGTCCGCGGACTTGTCCGTTGTGACGTCGAAGCCACGTGATTCGCATATTTAACAGGTCCGCGGACACCGTTCCCGAAAGTTGTCCGCCGTGTGAATACACCTTTAGGAACACATCCTTAGAAACACAATATAGGGTTACAACCATGGTCCTAAATTGCCATAGAGGTGGCAGATTTAATGTTTCGCTGCTCTCTCCTGGTTTCGTACGTGGCAGCTTTGACTCCAGTCTGGCACTGTCCATTATGTGGCCATCGAGAAAGAAACCATAGACAGGGTAAATAAAAGAACTCTGGCACAAACTAATGCCGTAAAGCAAAGCCTCTTCAGGCCAAATTAGGCCATTAAGATTGCCTAGCTTGTGCCAAGTTCAGCGTATCTCTGGCTTACCTGAGTAGTCCTTGAAAACACGGCACTGTTACACTCTAAAAAACGCCCGTACGTCCACTTTCCCGCGCCACACTCGAAACGCCAATCACACCAATTCTTACGGAGGCAACTCTGCGAAGGACGATACCGAAACATATGTTTATCCCAAAAAAAGCAGTCTAAGTTGTGACATTAATCAATGCGAAACGTACGTCACGCTTGCACTGCTTTATGTCACAACTCAGACTGCCTTTTTTTGGTTTAAACATATGTTTCGGCATCATCATTCGCTGAGCTGCCTCCGTAAGTTGCGGTGATTGGCTCTCCGAGGTGTTGTGCGGGCAAGTAGACGAACGGGCTTTTTTTAGAGTGTACAGAATGAAATTGTCAGCATCGCGTAGTTTGATCAGGCTCGACGTTTCTGAAATCCTATTACGAAGTTCAATCAAAGCAACTTACGTCTGTTTATCATTTTCGGTGCTCTGTACTCTCTGTGGATGGATCCAAATAAAGATTATTATGCGCATGCGTGGAAACTGAGACCGAGCTTATGTCAGCAGGAGGGGTAGGGGTGCAGTTTTGATTGGCTGTGTAATGTTATTGCTGTGCATTATCGACTAACAAAACTACATGTGTTTGATTGTAGAAAAACTAGCATTTAATTATTTTATAAAATATAAAATTTGTTTCAATTTCCTTTTTTTAATTTAAATTTATTTGTAGTTCAGGTGTGTTAATACCTGTTTGAGTAAATAGCGCGGTATCATCTCTAGATTTAACACCGTTAAGAGAACAGGTTGTAGTGGCTTTCCTTCCTCTGTGTAAGTTATGAATGACGTAGAGTTGCTCCCTTTGAACCGGTGTTCGCACACCCCTAGTTTTTATAGGTAGGGTAACTCTGTTGATAAGCAAAACGTCGTCAAAGATTGCTAAAAGTTTGAAGGTTCTCCAAACCGGTCGAACCTCAGGTTTGACAGAAGTTCGCGTCCACCATAGAACGGACCAACTTTCAGTTCGTAGAAACTTTCATGTAGAGACTTCAAGCTCCTTAATCTGCAATAGCTCCAACATAAAAAAGCAGACCAACCATTGACTGTTATTTTATTCGAACATGACGAAAGTTAGACTGCGTTAAAGTACCCATTAATATTAGTAAGTACTTGTCACTGCGTTATCGTCGGCTCTGCTCATTGATGGTATCTACAGTGTACAGTGTACATGCTGTACCATCCTCACCCTTGCCTCAGAGGCCTTGTATTTGTCTGGCAATATTCGCAAGCAACAGACCGATCTCAGCAGCCAGTTTGACTACGCCACCGCTGCCGCAATGCATCGAGGGAACTTTAGTCTTTCTGCACGCGCGACAACTTCGCTGGAGCTCAGTGCGTGCAGGGCACAAACAGTCCCGTGCACTCCCGATTGCCTCCTGTGAACTAAAGTTATGGCTGCCTCGCGCATGCGTCGAACGCTTGGTGAGATCGGTCTATTCAATAAAAATAAGCAAAATCGTAGCAGTTTAATTTTTATTTTGTTCAACACCTACGAATCGGCCCCGTTCTCGATACCAAAGGCTCTGCAGAGCCCAAAGGCAACGCGCAGCGAACGGTATGAACCAGAGCCGTATATGTAGAGAGTTTGGTCAATGGGAGGCGCGGGCAGAGTCAGGGCGTGCGGCAGAGTCGGAAAGAGGGTTGGCATGCTCTCTTGACCAACCAGAAGCCGAAAAGAATCCCCTAGCGGTGGTAGCGGCAAACAGTTCTGATCAAAAGTCTACGTTCGTATATGGTTTTAATAAGCGCGTAAGAGTGAAGTGTAGTAACTCTTTGTGGTTGAAAATAGGGTACACGTGCTGTTTTGATCATGATCATGCAGAAAGATGTAAGAAACGAATGCGCCGTGCAACTCTGTTTTGCGCGGACAGAGTATGACCGCTCGGACGGCAGATTCCCGGCCCTCGGCGCTTGGCGTACGGATTATGTCGGTCGCTCCGCTAGTCGCACTCTTCCACCATCGTTTTGGATTAACGTGATTGAAACATCACGTGTACCCCATTTTCAGCCATTGAGAGTTACTCCAATGCAGTTATCAGGTTTGTTTCTCGCGACCACCGCCAGGGTAGTATTTCCGGCTTCTGGTTGGTCACATTCGAATTTCTGAAGACGCCCTGGAACACGCCCAGCCC